GCTGCGCACGTGCAGATGAGGATGGGCCACGCTTGGCTCTGGGATTCACCCTTTAACACAGGGTGGCAGGTCCGGCCTTTGTGGCCCTATGACGACCACAGCACGTGGCTGCTCAGTTCCTGTGGAATGAAGGGCTCTCGGGTGAGATTTCACAACTTGGAGGGTCCCCTCTCCAGTGGCCTTTCGGGGGTAGGGCCTCAGAAGCCCTGAAGGCTCCGACTTGAGCAGTGGACGAGGGAGGAGACCCCCATGTGTCCCTGGAACTCAGGACAGCAGTGACCTGGGGTGTGCGGGCATGGCAAGGTGGGCGAGAACACACGTGGCCCAGGCATTTCCTACAGATGTGCTGGGTGGTCTTTCGAGGGACTTTGGGTAACATGAATGACATCAGCCACTATGAAGGTGAATTTCCCGTCCCTGTGCCCATACCACTGGGGAACGGGGGCCATTTCTGCACCATTGAAATGTCACTGCAGGCACTTCTATCTGATTTTGGTGTTGGAGAGATTCAGGATTGGAAAGGCAAACCCCGATAACTGAGAGGGAAGATCCCGGTAGGACCCTCCCACACTCTTCCTGTCCACCCTGGGTGTGTGGGAGACAAAGCCCTGACCATGGCGGCTGCAGGTCAGGAGGGTAAGACCTCCCTCCCCGGCCCATGACCGAGTGCAGGGGCCACAGCGTGGGGCCCTGGCGGCCTGCTTCGCACTGACTGTACTTGGAATTTTAAAAACCAAGTTTAATGCAGCTGAGACGATTAAGGGGGTGTTCCCAGCTTTGACCATGGGCGCTGCATTTGGGTGTGTAGTTAGCTCGGCCAGTTAAACGGGGCAGAAGAGCAGATGCCCTTGGCCAGCTGGGGCACAGTGTCCCCGGGAAGCTGGCATGCACCTCAGTGTCTGGCCCACCTGGACTGCAGCCTCCACTAGGGGCGTCCCTACCCGGAGCCGAGTGCCACCACCCGGCTCCCCTCAGACCAACGCAGACCTGCTGTCCCTGTGCAAACCTCTCTGCCTACAGACTGTGTCCTGTTTTCTCCTGAAGGATTTTGTCACTTAAGTCAGGGGGGAAACTAAGTTCATTCCTCGGGTCCCGTGTGACATTCATGTTTTCTGAAGTGAGTTCCCACAGTGGTGGTTTCGTGAGTGGAAAATGTGAGCCGTGGCAAATGTAGAATTCTGTGAAGAAGGAAGCTGAAATTCAGAACAGAAACCTGGACCGGCTCAGTGTGTGGCACTCGGGCAGGGCTGGCGGGGAACCAGCAGGGTCATAACAGGTGCCGTGTATTCCATGTGCTGTCGCCCACGGTCGGGCCTGTCTCCTCTAGAGTTGATGGCGGGGCTCGCACCTGTGTGTCCCTGTAGTCGCGCCTCTGGGGTCTGCCAACAGCAGGCTTGCTTCCCTGTGTCGGGTCCTCAGTTGATTAGAGAGAAAAGCTCCAATCCCGTAAGTTAGGGGAAAAGCACAGAAAATGTACATTCCATGAACCACAGGGCTGGAGGGCTGGGCATCTGCTGACCAGAGTCCAGAGTGTCCTCCTGGCCACTCGGGCCAGCCCACCCTGTCCAGGCCTGTCCTGTCCCCAACCACAGAGAATTCTGTGCCCAGCCCTGGTTCTCTGCACGGGGTGGAGACGAGACCAGCTCTCCTGGAGGTGGAAGGCACGTGTGTGGGGGTGGCGTCCAGGACGGCCTGTGTGCAGGAGTCGCCAAGGAGGCCCGGCCCCGTTGCCTGCGTTGCCCACAGCGCTGACTGGCTCTGTGTCCTTGCAGCAGTCCTGTGTCAACTGCGGCCGGGAGGCCCTAAGCGAGTGCACCGGCTGCCACAAGGTGAACTACTGCTCCATCTTCTGCCAGCGCAAGGTAGGTCCTCGGCTGCACGAGGCCCCACCCTGTAGACGGCCTGTGCCCTGTTCCCATGGGCAGAGGGGAGGGGGCTGCTCACCTGGCCTGTGACCTTGTGGTCAGCACCCGCAGCCCCGGACACCTGGCCACAGGTGGAGAAGGTCAGCGATTGGACACCTGTGTCTGTTCCCATTGTTCAGCCTTTGGTCTTGAGGTTAAACAGCCTGTTTTTTCGGAGCCTCGAGGGTCAGCCTCACTCAGGGGAAGGGGCTGGTGGCAGCTCAAGGTCCCACCTGGTTTCCTCTTCTCTGTGCCTATTTGGGACTTTCCACCATGAAGGAGGGTCACTGGAGGGGCAGGACACCTGCCATCATGGAGCTGTGTGTCACACGGCCAGGGACTCGCCAGCGGGTGGCCCCGAGCATTGTCCATTCTCAACAGAAATCCTCAGGGTCGGGGACCCAGCAGGACTGTGTGGGGTGTGGCACATGGCACGTCCGGGGGCTTCCTGGGCGCTGTGGGGAGAGGACCCTGGAGGCTGCTCACCAGCACACTTGTAGAAAGCATGGGAAACGGGACAGCACAGATAAGCAGCCAGTTTCTCCGACCAGGAGACCCACCTGTTTCTGTTCCTCCAGGTGCGTGTGCTTGGGTTCATTCATGTCACCTCACTCTGTGCCACGCCCCCACCTGCCCTGTGCCCAGGTCGTTGCTGTCCTGAGTGACAGCGTTGCCGTCTGCCCCCCTGGCTGTCCAGCCTCCCAGGGGCCCTGGTCCAAGCTCCTGGTTTCCCCTGGAAACGGGCTATGGCCCCACCTGGCCTACTTGGGGGTGTGGGGGCGGGGCTGGGGCCTTGCTCAGCACCCAAGCCAGCCTGAGAACCACAGCCACCAACCCCACCCTGGCTCCAGCTGTGTTTTTCTTTCTTTTTTTTTGTTAATTCTAACCCTAGGATATTTTTTCCATTGATTTTTAAAAAGCATTGGAAGGGAGGGAGGAGGGAGGGAGAGACAGACATTGATGTGAGAGAGACACAGATTGGTTGCCTCCCACTTGAGCCCGACCTGGGCTGGTGGTCTAACCTGCAACCCGGGTACCTGCCCTTGACTGGAATCGAACCCGTGACCCTTTGGTGCACAGGCCGATGCTCCAACCACTGAGCAACGCCAGCCAGGGCTCCAGCTGTGGTTTTTGTTTTTGTGATTATAAATAGCACCATGGGCAGCAACACCAGATACAGACATTTCTCTTCATGCCGTTATCTTGTTTAGACCCCTGGAAGGGGTCAGAGCATAGACACCTTCCAGGGCCTCTGTCTCAGGCTCCTCCTGGCGCTTTGCCTGGGAGCGAGTCCCTTAGACTTGAGGCGGGCGAGGCTGGGCCTGGAGCAGGCAGCCCACAGGCTGGGCACACAGGGCACACAGGCTGCGGCCCCGGGGCGGAGACTTCTCGCTGCTGCCCAGGTGGCAGCTCTGGTAACCAGGGTGTGTCTCTCCCTGCAGGACTGGAAGGACCACCAGCACATATGTGGCCAGGCGGCGGCCGTCACTGTGCAGGGGGATGAGGTGCACGTCGCAGAGAGTGTGATAGAGAAGGTCACCGTGTGAGAACTCACTGGTCCCCTCTCTGCAGTGCTGCGGGGCCGTGTTGGGCCCAGGGCTCCTCGAGGACTGTGGGGGCCATTGAGAAGGTGAAGAAACTTGCTGGACAAGTTGTGAACAGACTCCACGTGACCTGTGCCCTTGGCAATGAACCCCGCCGCTCAGAAGCCCCAAAGAAGGCTGGGCAGCAAGGGGCGGGACTTGGCGGCGGCCGGTGGACAGGCCATCTCACGGTGCTTTTTTATTCTTGGATCACGAGGGTCCGGTCTTACCCACGGGTGTGTTGTGTGTGTAACACGCGTGTACATACATGTGTCTGAATAAAGTCGATGTCCCTTGCCCCACTCACATGCAGTTCCAGCTCTAACTTCCCAGACATGGGGAGGTGGGTGCACCTGCCTCAGTTTCTCTGTCTGGGTCTCGGGGTGAGAAAGGACCACAGGGAACAGCGAGGCCGCCCGCAGTGTTCTTCCCGCCCACCTGTCACCCAGCAGCTGAGCAGTGGCCGGAGCTCAAGGGTGGCATTGTCTCAGGTACAGGGGGTCTCACAGGCCAGAGAGCCGCCCGTCCAGTCTTGAAGCGACTTGCTCCCCAGTGGCCAGCACGTGGTGACGGCCTGCGTGTAACCACGTCCCTTTAGCTCAGGTTACACTGGGGAACTCTGGGCCATTTGGAAGTGAGGCTGGCCTTGCCTGCCCCCTCCCGGCACTGACCACAGAGCCCCCGCAGTGCTGGCCGGGCTGCCTTGCTGCTCAGCACCTGTCCAGTGCTGTTCCCCCTGAGCAGGGCGGAACCTGGTTAACTCTCAGTATTGGGGCTGCTCCTGGGGGGAGACCAGGCGTGTCTGCTGGAGCCGTCCTCATACTTTACGGGCAAGAAGGTGCCCAAAGCTCAAGCAACCACCAGAGCTGGGTGCCGCCCAGGTGCCCCTCCACTGCCGGTCAGACCCTTGTCATCCCCAGTCCAGCAGGAAACAGGTGACAAGGACAAGGTGGCCATGGGGACAAGTCTTGAAGGGGATGGGGGGTGGTCAGGGAGGCTTCTTGGTGGAGGTTTCAGCGGGGACCACGAGCAGAAAAGAGCGAGTTCCCAGAGGGGAGGAGCTTCACAGGCAGAGGCTGTGCCTGACCTGGGCGCCTCACAGCCAGGCTCCTCACACTCAGGCGAGAACTCGGCACCTCCCAGCCGCTGTCAGGGCCCCGGGAGAAATGCACCCCAGCATTTCTCCCGGGGCCCTGAACTGGGAGAGCAGACGGGAAGCCCCCGCTGGCCTGTTCCTGGTTGGAAGGACCGAGAGCTGTGTCTTCCTGGGGGGGCAGCCCTAGCAAAGGGGCAGCTCGGGTGGCTCTGCCCTGCCTTAGGCCCTGCACCGCCTCCCTCCTCCTGTGCCCTGGGCCCAGCCACTCAGGCTGAGGATGGCCGAGGGCCCCCGAGGGAGAAGGGGCCTGCCTTGGTGGGCCCACCTAGCACCCAGGCCCTTCTCCTCGGGCTTTGGGCATCTCTGGCTGGGAGCTGTGCTCTGGCCTTGACGCAGCTGCCAAAACGGTGGGTGGGGTCACCTCAGCTGTGTTTTCAGGGGACTGTGCGGGGCCACCTTGGCTCCTCGGGAAGGGCCCTCCCCCTGCGGGAAGGGGCAGCAGCAGGAAACGGGGACCCCAGGCCCAGGGCAAGGTCCCTGCAGGGTGAACCGTCCACTCCCTCCCACTGAGGGCGGGAAACAGCCCAGGACACTGAGGGGCGGAAGCTGCTGGCCCAGAACACCGGGTGGGGGCTGGGGGCCCTGCAGCTGGTGCTCAGGTGCGGGGGGGGGACCTGCTGCAGGAGGGCCTGGGCTACTGTGGGGAGCCCTGGGGCAGCCCCGGGCGCAGGGGCCTGGACTCCCCGGCAAGGGCTGCCCTGGCCCGGATGCTTCTCCTTGGGGTTCAACCCCCAACTCCCCACCTCACCCCGAACCAGGAGTCCGTGCGTGGGGTCTGTTCTCTGGGCTTCCCCGTTAGGGAGGAAGGAAGGGGTTAACCGGCCCGATGGGGTCCGTGGGGGCCTGGCGCGGGGCAGCCCCCCTTCCGTGGCCCCCCTCCCCGCCCCAGCCCTTAGGCGCCTTCGGGTTGGGTGTTTAGGAAGGAATCGGTTTAATTCCTGGTACAAGACCGGCCCTGCCCTTGCCCCCCGCGGGGAGGGGGGGGCCTGCCGGGCGGCGGGGGCACAGCGCCTTGCGGAACGCGCCGCGGAACTCGGCGCTGAACGCGGTGTAGATGACCGGGTTGAGCGCGCTGTTGAGGTAGCCCAGCCAGGTGACCGCGCTGACCAGCCGCGGGGACACGGCGCAGGCGGGACACAGCGCCCGCGTGACGTGCACGACGAAGAAGGGCGTCCAGCAGACCAGGAAGGCCCCTGGGGGGCGGGGGC